AAAATGTTTTGTAATTTCTTTTGGGGCTTCTTTGTTCTATGTGTTATTTAGAAAAGTGTTGTTTAATCTCCACATATGTTGAGCTTTTCCAGGTATTTTTCTTTTATTGATCTTTAGTTAATTCCATTGTGGTTTGAGCACATAGTTTATATGATTTCTAATTCTCTAAATTTGTTAAGTTGTGTTATGTGGCTCAGAATGTGGTCTACCTTGGTGCAAGCTCTCTGTGAGCTTGAGAAGACTGTATAGTGTTTTTTTTTTTTGATGGCATATTGTATAAATGTCAGTTAGATCCAGTTGATTGATAATATTAGTTCACTTATGGCCTTTCTGATTTTCTGCCTGTGGGCTCTGTCAATTACTAATTGAGGGGTGTTGAAGTCTCCAACTATAATAGTAGATTCATTTCTTTCTCCTTGCATTTCTGTTGGTTTTTTTGTCAAGTCTTTTGGCGCTCTCTTGTTAGGCAATACACATTTAGGGTTGTTATGTCTTCTTGAAGAATTGACCCTTTTATCATGTAATGCTCTTCTTTATCTTGATCATTTTTCTTGCTCTGGAGTCTGCTTCGTCTGAATAAATATAGCTCCTTCATCTTTCTTTTGAGTTTCTTTTACTTTTAATCTGTATCTTTGTACTTTAAGTGGTTTTTTGTAGCCAATGTGGTCTTTGTCTTTTAATTGGTGCATATAGACCATCAATGTTTAAAGGGATTATTGATATAGTCGGATTAATGTCTTCATGTTGTGTGTCATCGAATCGATTCTGACTCATAGCAACCCTGTAGGACAGTAGGCCTGCCCCATAGGGTTTCCAAAGCTGTAATCTTTATGGAAGCAGACTGCCACATCTTTCTCCTGCAAAGTGGCTGGCGGGTTCAAACCACCACCCTTTTGGTTTAGCAGTTAAGCACTACCACTGCATGATGAGGGCTCCTTATCATGTTTGTTAGTGTTTTCTATTTATTGTTCTTTGTTTTGTTTTGTTTTTCTTTCAATCTTTTTTTTTTCCTCTAGTTTTAATAGAGCTTTATATATGATTCTATATTCTTCTGTCTTGGGATATCAGTTACACTTCCTTTTTTTCTTTTAGTGTTCGCTATAGATTTTACTACATACATTTACTGCTGTCCGAGTCCACTTTCAGGTAACACTGTGCAACTTCATGGGTAGTACAAGTATCTTATAACTGTATTCTCAGTGTCTCCCTCCTGTCCCTATAACATTGCTGTTGTTCATTTCACTTATCCATAAACTATAATCACGTAATACATTTTTGCTATTATTTTTAACAAACTGTTAACTTTTAGGTCAATTAAGAATAAGAAAAGTAAAAGGTTCTATGTTTATTTTATTCATTGTCTGATGTTCTCCCTTATGTAGATCCAAATTTCTGATCCATATCATTCTTTCTCTCTGAAGAAATTCTCTTACCATTTCTTGTAAGGAAATTTTCCTGGTGACCAATATTCTCTATATTTGTCTGGAAACATCTTTATTTCTCCTTTTTTTAAAAAATCTTTTAAATTGTAATTAAAAAAATTAGAAACAAAACATTTGCCAGTTCAACAATTTTTACTTGTATAATGAGTGGTGAAAATGGTTAATCACTCACTTGCTAGCTGAAAGGTTGGCAATTTGAACCCACCTACAGGCTCCTTGGAATCTGGTAATCTGCTTCGAAAGAGTCACATCCTTGAAAACTCTGTTGAACAGTTCTACTCTGCACACATGGGATCACCATTAGTCATAATCAATTTGGCAGCAACTTGAAAACAACAATAATGTAGTGACGTTGATTACGTTTATCTGTTCTGCAACTGTTACCACTATTTTTTCCCAATTTATTCCACCACCAGTTACAGAAATTCAGTGCCCCTATGCAGTGAACCTAGTTTTCTCCTTCTTTCCCACCCTGGTAACCACTGATAAGTTTGGTTACTGTATATTTGCCTGTTTCACATAAGTGGGGTCATACAGTATTTTTCCTTTTGTGACTAATTTCACTCAGCATAATGTTTTCAAAATTCATCCATGTTTTAGTGTCTCATTTCTTTTTATAACTAAGCAACATTCCATTATATGGATATACTGTATTTTGTTCATCTGTTGATTGACATTTAGGTTTCCATATTTTGGCTGTTGTAAATAGTGCTGCAGTGAACATTGGTGTACAGATGTTTGATTTTCTGCTTTTAATTTTTTTGGGTGTTTGCCTAGGAGTGGGATTGCTGGGTCATACTGTAGTTCTATAGTCAACTTTTTGAGGAACTCCCAAACAACGGCAGTACCATTTTACATTCCCACCAGCAATGGATGATGGCGCCAGTTTCTCCACATTCTTGTCAACTCTTGTTATTTTCCATTTCTTTTCTACTTCCATTTTGAAGGATAATTTTGCTGGATACAAAATTTCAGTTTACTAAGCTTTTTTTTTCTTGTCAGCACTAAATATTTCATGCCACTCCTTGCTTGTATGGTTGCTTAAAACAAGTCTAATGTAATTCTTAACTGTGTTCTTCAATAGGAAGGTGATCGCCCCACCCCCAGCCTCTTTCCGTTTTTTCTTTTGAATTTTGCATAGTTCGAATATGATATCACAAGATGGACTTTTTTTGGTAATTATCCTGTTTGGTGTTCCCTAAACTTCCTGAATCTCTGGTTTGGTGTGCATCATTAATTTTCTAAATTTCTCAGTCATTAGTATCTCAGATGTTTCTTTTGTTCGTTTCTACTCTTTCCTTCCTGATATTCTCAATACGTGGATAGCCTATCTTTAGTAATTGTTCTACAGTTCTTGGGTATTCCATCTTTTTCATTCTTACTTCTCTTTGCATTACAGTTTTGAGAGTTTCAATGAATTTATTTTCAAGCTCACTGATTATTTCCTTGGCTTTGTTCTTTCATTTCAAGAACTTGTTAAAGGCACTCTTCATTCCTGTTACGGATTTCTAGCATTTACTTTGGTTTTGTTGTTACAGTTTCCATCTCTGCTAACATTACCCGTGTGTTGTTACATGTTATATGCTTTATTTATTAGCACCTCATTGTGTTCTAGTTATTTGGAATCTTTGGTCTGATCATTCCAAAATCTGTCTCGTATCATAGACTGATTTTGATGCTTGCTCTTTTTAAGCTGTGTTTTTGTCTTTAGAATGTCTAGTAGTTTTTTTGTTTTGTTTTGTTTACTGTGTTTTAGGTGAAAGTTTACATAGCAAATTAGGTTCCCCTTTAACAATTTTTATACAAATAGTTCCATGCTATTGGTTACAATTTTCATAGCGTGTCAGCACTGTCATTTCCATTCCATTTGTTGTGTTTCCATTGATTTAGCTTCACTTATCCCTTCTCGCTTTATCATTTTTGCTTTTGGGTAAATGACCATTTGGTCTCATATAGTTCATTATTTAAGGGAACACATTATTCACGGATGATACTGTTTATTTTATAAGTTAATCTATTATTTGGCTGAAGGGGGACCCACGGAAATAGCTTCAATTCCATGTTCAGAGATTATCTTAGAGTGATAGTCTCGGGTTCCTCTAGTCTCTGTCGGCCCAGTATGTCTGGCCTTTTTAAAGAATTTGCGTTTTGTTTTACATTTTTCTTGCATTCTATCTGGGGGCTTTTATCATGTCCCTGGTCAGAATGGTCAGTGTTGGTAGCCGGGCGCCATCTAGTTCTTCTGGTCTCAGGTTTGAAGAGTTTGTAGTTTGTGTGGACTATGAGTCTCATGCATTGGTTTCTTCTTTGATCTCCATCTTTTTTTTTTTTTTTTAACTCTTTATGAGCAGAGACCAATAGTTGTGTTTTAGGTAGCCATTCACAAGCTTTTAAGACGCTAAACACTACTCACCAAACTGGGATGTGGAACATTATTTTTGTGAACTATGTTATGCCAGTTGACTAAGTTGTCTCCCAAGACTATGGTCCCAAGGCCCTAGAGTCAGTAAACCAATCCTCTGTGTTGTTTGCTTATGTCTAGGAAGCCTCCATAACTGTACCCGCTATATAATTTGTTATGTATGTGGATAGATATGCAGCACAGATAAACGTGAATATGCATACGCGTACAGGTACATCTATACGTGTACATGCATTTACTCAAATACGTCTTTCTATACACATATGCATCCACATCTATAAATGAAACCACACACATATATTTGGTTGTATTTTTTATTGTTGCAGAATTGTATATGTTAATAACATTTATTGTACTTGTCCCTTTTTCTCATGTTCTTTTTCGTGCCTTGATTTACCTTGATTACATTGTGTTGACTTCACCCATATTTGATCTTGTCTTTCCTGTCACTGAAAGTTACAAGTGTCTGCTCTTTAGTGATTCCCCCTCCTTCCACCTCTCATCCCTGGTAACCATCAAAGAATTTTGCTTTCTGTGTGTATATGTGTATTTTTCATTGTTTATAATAGTGGGACCATAGAATGTTTGTGTTTTTGTGATTTACTTACTTTACTCAGGATAATGTTCTTTAGATTCATTGACGTTAAAAGATGTTTCGCAGACTCCTTGTTATTTTTTATAGTTGCATACTATTGCGCCATGTGTACGTATGTTTTTTGAGCCATTCATTTTGTTTATTCATTCATTCATCCATTGATTAGCATTTAGGTTGTTTCCATCTTTTTGCTATTGTGAATAATGCAAAAATGAACATAGGTGTACGTATGTAATTGTTCACGAGGAAGTGAAGATCTGAATTAGAACGTTTGTCTGATTCCTGCTGTTTTCTAAGTGTCCAAAAGAGAAAAGAATAAAACTCCAAATCATCAGTCAAACTGGAGAGATTATTTCAGTGTGTGGGAGGTCTATGAAGATGCAGTCAGTGAGGAAGTAAATGTAGTTAGTGAAGGGACAAGAACCTTGTGTCAAATCCCTATGAATTCTCAGTTCCCCAGGACTGTCAGCCCCACCCTTTGTTCTTGTACACATTGGAGTACATGGTATCTTGTTGATCCAGAATATGTGGGATGTTTTAGGACTCAGTGGTCATTGAAGATGTGGCCGTGGTCTTTACCCAGGAAGAGTGGGCTTTGCTGGATCTTACTCAGAGGAAACTCTACAGAGATGTGATGATGGAAACCTTCAAAAACCTGGTCTCAGTAGGTAAGAATGTCATCATTTTTTTAATCCCTTTAGTGAACAAAAATATTTCACTCTTCTAGTTCTAGTATTTGGGAGGATGAATGGGAATAAATTGTTAAATGAAACAGTTATAGTCATTTGGTTTGTGGAGCTTACATATCCTAGCTTTCCCATGAACGTAAAGCTCTGTGTATTACAGTGAGTTTTCATTTCTCTTGTGACTAAAAGTCCAGAGGTTCTTCAAGTATTCTAAGTGTAAGCATTGGCTTCGGGTCACTTTGGGACACTGAAGAGATTTGTGGTTTGGGACATTGTAGAGAGTCTTACCGTGCTTATTACAAGTTTGACATGATTATTTTGCTGCAAATAAACTCACACCCATCCATTTTCAGGAACTCTGAAAAGCGAAATTTTGCGTCAGCGTCAAGGAAATTGCTCTGCACTATCTTCTCTCATGATGTGCATTTTTACATGAGCACCACATCAACTATACCCATGTGTTTCCCAGAGAAGTCAGGGAAAGATCTGAGGATAGTGGAGATAGCGCTCATCCAGGACCACTGTGTCAGGAAGTGCCAGGAAAGCAAGAATTTTTTGAAGGACCAGTCCTGCATGGAGGAAATTACATTTGAATCAGTCAGCTAGAAAAAGTCTCTTGGGTAGAGGACATAACACAGATACCTAAACTTCTCTGACCTTAGCAATCCTCTTCACACCTGTGGTTATGGAGATCCTTTTCCTCTTTTAATGTTAACATGTGGGTTGTGTCCAATATTTTTCTACTTAGCTCTCTTAAGTATACCAGTTTATATCACCATCACTGTCAATCCTCTTGGAAGTTTTTCCTAGTAAATTGCTTTTTAACCATTGCCAAAGTACTGAAACAGCAAAATGTGGCTAAGTCTTTGTTCACAGCAGCCTTTCCCCCTAATAATTCCTTTCCTTTTTGTTTCATGTTTGTGAAACTCAACTTGAATTATGCAGTCTCTCGAAATATTAACGAAGGAGAAGAGTCATCCAGTGAACATATAATGATGCAGTTCGTGAAGACTAACACTTGGTCCTCCATGTTAGGAGAAATCTCTGAATCATGTGGCAGTAAAAATCAGCATAAAAACCAGGGGAGACATTTGAGGTGAGTGTCGTTCAGATAAGAGAAAACAGTGCCTCAGGAGAAAGTTCTAAGATGTCGTAACATTAAAATACATATATATTAAAAGGCACACACATGCGTATAAAATACTAACATACACGTATATGTTTTTATATGTAAACCTAGCTATAAAATTATGTGTTCGGAGAGTTTTTATAATACAACATTTTCATAAATGTGAGTCAGATTTGAAATACATTTCACTTGGACACAATTATCAGAAAGCTTCATAATTTAGTAAAACATTGACAGTAATGGTAGTCTTTCTGTTAGATGATTTACCTATGAAACATGAGACAACTCAGGGCGAAAACCATGTGCGTTCACTGTATTCGGTAATGGGGAAATGGGAACAAATTTATTTCCAACAGCATGTTGCCTGTTTTTAACAGAAGTCACCCAGTAGACAACCTCTCTGAAAATAATGAAGGCAATGCGTGTGGGAAAACGTTCAGCTGGATTCCAAATCTTACTATGCTAAAAAGAAATCCTCCAGAAGTAAATCCTTTTGAATGCTGTGAGGGTGGAAAAGGCTTCATGGATCACTCATCACATAACCATCATACCAGATCTCATACTGGATGCAGGACCTGTCAGTTTAATGAACGGGGAGAAGCCTTAAGTCATCCCTCTTACCTGATCACTTCTATGAGAACTCGTAATGGAAAGAAACCCCATAAATGTAGAGTATTTGGGAAGGACTTCATTTGTATTTCAACCCTTAAGAATCCTGTGACAACACTCACTGGTAAGAAAGACTATAAGTGTAATGAATGTGGGAAAGATTTCTGTAGTTTCTCATCCTTCCGGACACATGTGAGAGGTCATAAGCGTGAATGTAAAGAATACTGTGAAACTTACAGTCTTCCTTCAGCCCTCATTTTACATAAAAAATTTCATAACAGAGATAAGCTTTATGAATTTAAGGAATGTAGGAAAGGGTTTAATCAGGCCTCATACCACACTAGACTTACAAGAACTCACAGTGGAATGAGGCCTTATGAGTGTAAGCAGTGTGGGAAAGCCTTTAGTCGTTCCTCACACCTCACTTTACATATAAGAACTCACAGTGGAGAGAAGCCTTATGAATGTAAGGAATGTTGGAAAGCCTTTAGTGATCCCTCAGCTCTCATTACTCATATGAGAACTCACACTGGAGAGAGGCCCTATGAATGTAAGGAATGTGAGAAAGCCTTTAGTCAAGCCTCAACCCTCACTAAACATATGAGAACACACAGTGGAGAGAGGCCTTACGAGTGTAAGCAATGTGGAAAAGCATTTAGTCGTTCCTCACACCTCACTTTACATGTAAGAACTCACAGTGGAGAGAGGCCTTATAAGTGTAAGCAGTGTGGGAAAGCCTTTAGTTATTCTTCAGCTCTCACTGTGCATATAAGAACTCACAGTGGAGAGAGGCCCTATGAATGTAAGCAATGTGGGAAAGCCTTTAGTCGTTCCTCACGCCTCTCTTTACATATGAGAACTCACAGTGGAGAGAGGCCTTATGAATGTAAGCAATGTGGAAAAGCCTTTAGTCGTTCCTCATACCTCATTTTACATATAAAAACTCACAGTGAAGAGAGGCCTTATGAATGTAAGCAATGTGGAAAAACCTTTAGTCGGGCCTCATACCTCACTATGCATAGAAGAACTCACAGTGGAGAGAAACCTTATGAATGTAAGGAATGTGGGAAAGCCTTTAGTGACGGCTCATCCCTCGCTAAACATAAAAGAACTCACAGTGGAACGTCACCTTATAAATGTAAGGAATGTGGAAAAGCCTTTAGTTGTTGTTCACAGCTCACTTCACATATAAGAATTCATAGTGGAGAGAAGCCTTATGAATGTAAGCAGTGTGGGAAAGCCTTTAATTATTCGTCATCTCTCACTTTGCATGTAAGGACTCACAGTGGAGAGAGACCTTATGAATGTAAGGAATGTGGGAAAGCCTTTAAGAGTTCCTCACAGCTCACTTCACATAGAAGAATTCACAATTGAGAGATACCTTATGAATGTAAGGAATGTGGGAAAATCTTTCGGTCTTCCTCACATCTTACTACACATAGAATTCACAGTGGAGTTGCCTTATGAACGTAAAGAATATGGGAAAGCCTTTAGGTGTTTCTCACACCTCAGTCTTACATATAGGAACTCACAGTAGAGAGACTATATAATAAATGGGATGTTTCATTTTTAGTGCTATAATTTCAAAGAGCAAATTTCCTAAAGTCTTGGATTAAAGAGCAAAGTTTCTCAGTAGCTAAGAAAATAATACTCAAAGAAGGGGTCATCAGAGCTAATTTACGCCTCTGGGAGAAATGACAGTTTCTTTGTAACTGTGGGGTTGTTCTCATCAAGTGTTTATTAAAACTTTTTTGGTCCAAGCCAAATTTTACCTTTCTTAAAGATTTTGGCTGTTACAAATAAGGCTGAAGGGAATAGCCATGAGCAAATGTGGTTTTATGTTTTTTAGCGTTTTATTGATGTTTTTTGCATACAACAAAATAACAATTTGTATTTAGTTTAAGTCTTTTGTTTTTGTATTTGTATCGCATTTTGTTCGATTTTTTCTTATTGTAAAGTTAATTATTTTACTTTTTGTAATTAGTAAATTTTTCATAGAGCAGTACTTTGATACTGCAAATAATTCTGTTTTTCATCTTTGGCCTGCTAGTTTTAATACTCATTGATGATTGTTACCTATGAGTGTTACTGTCATGTTTACCAAACGCTATTTTCTGTTCCATTCATTTTTTCTGTTTATTAATTGGAATTTTGCGAGGAATAACTTTCCCTTCACTCTGTTTTATTTATTAAGTGGTTTATACCAGTATAGGCTAATCCATATTCTTTTTTGTTTTTTCTTTTTCTTGCTCAAATTATCCCAGATTTGGTTATTAGAAGCTCCTTTAAGTAGGTTCCTATTTTTTTTTTTTTAACATATTCCCATTATAATTTGTACATTACTTTCTGCCAGTGTTCAAAGCTCATCTTGTCCTTTTCCTGCCAAAGCCCTGGAATCAGACTTTTCTCCAAGAAACCTTGGTTTCTGGTATTAGAGGATAATATTTAGAAATAAAGATCTGGATATTAAGTATGTTTATTAATACTGGATCTTCCAAGTGGAAAGAGCTAGAAAATATATGTGTGTCAGCATACACATACAAAACACATATTCATATGTATCTTTATATGCATCTATATATTTTTAAAACCACAGGATCATACCCATATCACTGATTCCAGGGTAACACTACAGGGTTCACTTTAACATTTTACCTTATTTTGTTAACCTTTAATAATATTTCTGGCTCTCGTTATCTACTAAACGTTATTTGCTGAGTCTTAGAATATACGTAGTTTCAGAATTGCTTACTGTAAGGTGATGAACCACTTTGCAGAAATCAATTTGTTCTTTGAGGTTCCTGAGAGACTGCAGCTGAGGCTGAGTGGGGGTGGGTAAGATCAGAGGGACCACCTGTGGTCTCATGCTAACCTCTTGAGACATAATTTAGCTTATGCAGGAGTTGCCGATAAAAGTGCAGAAGTTGGAGGCTTAAGGGAGCTTCCCAACTGGCGAAAAATATCCATCCATATGGAGGGTAGCATATTCTGGGGACATGGAAGCTGTGCACTGGGATCCTACCAGACCTTGCCCTATGCATCTCTTCATTTGTTAACAGCTATTGTCATGAAGGTGGCCTTGTGAATTCTGTGAGTCATTCCAGTGAATTATTGAAGCAAAACGAGAGTCAGTAAGGGGGCTGGGGACCCCTGATCTTGAGGCTAGAAATCTATGGGGTAAGGGAGAATGCCCCAGCAATCAGTAGTTGGGAGTCCAGACTCCTAAACTTGCAGCTGGTATCTGCCTGTTTGGCAGTTTGAAGGACAGTGTCCTTTTAATTTCTGAGGTCTGGCCTAGCCCCAGGTAACTACAGTCGGGGAGAATCCTGTGTGGGTTACTGGTGTCAGAACTAAATGAGGACAGGAATCTGAGATTTACACATGATGCAATTGGCATATGAATTGGGATTTCTTAGTCTCCTTGGCATATAGTAAGAAGTTGAAGTCATTAAACTCCATCTGACCCTAAAAGTGATGTCGCAGTTACTGTACTACATGATTGGTAGAATTTCAGTAAGGGTTAGAAAATAGGTTGAACCAAAATTATGTCTGTGAATGAATAAATTTTAAATGTATACCTTTAGAGACAATCAGGCAGGGACTTCCTCAGTTTTTTGCTTCTCCTTATAAAAATTTCTGATCACACATCTCCGTACTCAGTGTGTCAGTGAAAAATTTGGCCCTCTCCATCAGCTCTGAGTCCCTTTTCTGATCTATCACACCATCATTTACTGTCTCTCCAGCGTCTTCAATATCTTCTGTCTCCTATTTGCCTTTGATACCAGGTCTTTCCAACTTAATTGAACCCTTTTCTGGCTATGTTTCAGTTGTTTTCACGATCTTCATGCTTAAGTTTTTTTGAAAAGGTGCCACAGCCACCCATCTTCTTGACTTCAACCACCAACCCCATTAGCTCCCACATGTCCACATCTCCAGCAGAAATCTCTTTCCCAGGCTTAAGCCCAAATATCCTACAATTATTACAGTAGGAACCAAAAAGTTTATCTAGTCATAATTATATCTTTAAGGGACTGCATTATTTTAAGTAGAATGTTGGTTTTTAAATGCAGTATCTATATCGCTGTCCTCCTTAGCATCTGTATTTCCTCCTGCCTGTCTAAAATTTATTCCCCTTTCTTTAGTTTTACATCAGGAGACTTCTGTAAGGTCACAGCTTCTAGGAAATCTATCATATTCCAATGTTTTTTCTCTACTATCTTGCTACTTTGGCCCTTAGTATAGCATTTCTCTTTTTCATCAAATCTAATCTTAACAGTAACCTTAACAGCTAACCCTAACACCCTCTATCAAATCCTATCCCTAAGGCTAGATGTAAGCCCAACTCAATCCCTAATCCTAACCACTAAAAGTAACCCTAACCAAACCTTAGGCCAGAACATAATCTTGATGCTAATTTTAACTCAACCCTAAAACTAGATTAAACCCAAGCATATCCTTAATTCTTACCATGACAATAACCCTAGATCTAATCCTATCTATCCCTAATCATAGGCCTAGATCTAACAAAACCCTAAACCTAACCTTAGACTTAACACTAACCAATACCCTAAACCTAGATCTGACTGTAAATACAACCCTTTTTCTAACTCTAAGCCTAACCATAACTAGATCTAATGCAACACTACCCCTAACTTTAAGTCTGACTTAAGTAACTCTAGATCACAAGCCTAATGTTAACCTTGATCCCAACCCTGATTCTAGATCTCAACCTAATATGATCCCTAACCTTAATACTAAACATCCTTAACCCTAGATCTAACTCTAACAGTAACCATAATCCTAACGCTAGATGGAAACATAACCCAAACTGTAACTGCTCACCACTTACCATAACTTTAGGTATAACCCTTAACCTGTTTATAGCTAGTTTTGTCCTTAATCCTAATTCTAAATCTAACCTTAATTTGATCCCCAACACTAACTACTAATACTAACCCTATATCTTAACTAACCCTAAGTATATCTTAACTCTAAACCAAAAAAATTTAAAAAACCTGTTGCCATCAAGTTGATTTCGACCCATAGTGACCCTATAGGACAGAGTAGAACTGCCTCATAGGGTTTCTGAGGTGTGGGCTGGTGCATTCAGACTGTTTTTTGGTTAGCAGCCTAGCTTTTAACCAGTGTGCCACCTAACCATAAACCTGGCTTAAACCTAAACCTATTCTTAACCGTAACTCTAACCATAACTCTAGCCCCCACTCTAACACTAATTCTAGATGTTACGCTAACATTAAGTCTAACACTAACCCTAACTATAGACGTAATTCAGCCCTAAATCTAATTTGTGCCTTAACCCTAACACTTAGCCGTAGCCTTAATTTTACCACTAACCCTAATCCTAAACCTGAACATAGTCCTGACCCTAATCTTAGCCTTCGTCTTAGCCCAAACAGAAATCCTAACCTTAACTTTAGCCCTAGCGCAGACCTTGACCTAAGCCCCAACAATCCTAATTATAACTATTTCTCAACCTAACCGTAGATCTAAACCCTAACACTAAACCTTACTATTATTCTAATCATAAACCCTAACCATAACACTGTCCCTAACTCTAAGCCTAACTGTAAACCTCATCCTAGATCTAATTCTAATGCTATCCTAACACCCTCAATCTAACCCTACACTGAAAGCTAGATCTCACCCTAACCCCTTTCCGAATCCTAACTCTAACCCTACTCCTATCCCTAACCTTGGAACTAACCCAATCTACATAATCTCCACCTAGACCTATCCGTAGCCCTAAATCTAAACATATCACTAAACGTAAACATAGGTATAACCCCAACTCTAATGCTAGATGTAACGCTAACTCTAACCCTAATGGTAACCCTTGAGATCTAATCCGAACCCAAACGCTATCCTTAAACCTACATGTAACCCTAATCCAAAACCTGTTTTACTGTAACCTTAAATCTAACCCTAATCCTAACTTAAAACTAAGCTTAACCCTTGATCTACACCAAACCCTAAACCAATCCTACCCCATCCCAATTTGTAACACCAGATAGAACCCTAGATGTAAGACTAATCCTAACTCTAACCTAAATCTAAACCAAACACTAACTCTAAATTCAATCCTAGAATTAACCCTAATGCTAAATCTAATTCTAGATCTAACCATAACCTTAACTCTAATCCTAATCTAATCCTATGCCTAAACTTGACTCTAATTCTAGATCTAACTGAACCTAACACTAACCCTTTAATGTTACTACATACCTAACACTAGATATAAACCATAATTCTAGATTTAACCATTACCCAAAATAAAACCCTAACTCAAACATAACCCTAACCCTATCTAACCCTAAACCTAAACTTAACCCTAGCTCTCAGTACACCCTAATCCTAACTGTGACCTCTAATTCTAACTCTAAACCTAATCCTAGATCTAACCCTAACTGTATACCCTACTTCTAACTTCAGATCTATTCCTACCCCTCACCATGACGGTAACCGTAACCTTAGATTAAACCTTATCCATAAACCTATATCAAATGGAAATCTTAATCCTAAACCAAACACTTTCCAATCCAATCCTAACCTTAGATCTAACCCTAAACTTAATCCTAAAGCTATATATAACCTTAAGCCTAATGCTAATGCTAATGCTAACCCTGGAGCAAACAAT